TTAAGCTAATAGCCTGACTGACTGGTGTAAGGGTATAAAAGATGGTGGTCATGGTGAGAACAAAACAGGGCAAAATATATATATATATAGGTGGTGCTCAAGGTGCTCTGGTAGGCTGATGGATTACAATATCCTGACTACTAAATTAGGATTCTCCTAGGAGACTATTTTATCCTAGTCTAGACTACCCTGAGCCAGTTATTAGATCTTTATTTAATAGTCTGTTATGTTTTTTTTTTCTGTTGTGCTTTGCCAGCTGTTCTTTGCCCCAGGATTAAAAAAAAAAAAAAAAAAAAACCAACTTGCTTATGTATTATGGAAGAGGAACCTTCTTTATCATGGGAAAGCTCTTTTTGCTTGCTTTTTGATGTCATCTTAACCTTGTTCAGGATTTCATTGTATATTATGCTATTTTTTGGAAAGATAGCTTTCGGGTTTTTTGTTTGTTTGTTTGAAAACTTATCCTTAAAGGATAGCAAAATCAGAGTGCATTTCAGTTTTTGTATCTTTAAGAAGTATAGAGAGCAATCAACTATGTTTGTTTGAAGTATCTTGAAGTATGTAGTGAACTGTGTGGATATTCAGTCCATTTGACTGAAGTAACCATATTCAACATAACTTCAGGAGCTTGACTTTATTCAGTAGGCTAATGATGATCAAAAAATAAACAGCACCCACCACCAAGCTGGTTAGAGCTATCTCAAAAGTAAACCGAACAAGGAACAAAAAGGATCTCTGCTTATCTTTTATCTAAATAATACCAGTTTCACAATAAATAATGTACAGGCTACATTTCTTAAAACAGTTGGACATGTTTGCAGCGAACCTCATTTCTAGGGCTTAATACAGAAGTGTTAAAAAGCCTTTTTACATGTGTACTTGTCCTGATTTTTGTCCTTCATCCTTTTATAGTATAGGTTGTTCTCTGGAAGGGAGCTGAATGAGGAAGATCATAATCAAAATATCTGAACACAAGAATAGACAATCTAAGATACTGCTATGTACTGTGGATCTGGATTTCAGAACTAAATTGGTGTAATCCATAAAATTTCACTGTGCTTGGTATAATAATGAACTTGAAACTGGTTAACTTATTTTTAAAAAAAACTAAATTATCTTTCACACCTAAACATTTAAATAGATTAATGGCACTAGAAGCATAGCAAAGTAGCTCAAGAACAATAGTTGAAAATAACTTACTGATCTGCTTTTAGATGATCCGACAATGTATCAGTCTTTTGTAACCTGCAGAATTATTCCATAATCTTTTGTGGTACAAATCCATGTTCACAGGAGTCAATTGTATATGAAGTCCTGCCTGTTTGTAGGTCTGAGAGTTTTAATTCTCAGTCTTGGAATGTATAAGGAAGAGCAGAACACTGTAAAGGGCTTAAACTGTTTTCCTTAATAGGATCACTTCTGTGATTTCATATGCAGAAAAAGCTAGTGCAAAGCAAAAGTCTTGAAACCAATTCATCAGAAGATTTAGAAGTTGCAAGAGTCATGTTCCCTTTAACTGAGAGTCCTGAAGAAGCTTTAAAATGAAGTTTAATCTAGCTGTTGCCTATATCTTATACAATCATGTTCAAATTTTCTGTTCAGTTAGGGCCCTAGAACATAAGCTTACCTCGAAGGCCAGGGTACTAGGTACATTGTGGTCTGCAGGCTGCAGTTTTAGGTAAGTTGAAAATAAAATGAAACATTGAGTTATAAGTTATACGTTGTTCAGTGGGCAGAGGACAAACTGAATTTTGGTAGGGAAGAGTAAACTCTGAAAGGTTAAGGATAATTGAATGTCAAAAAGATCTTTGAAAGTCTGACTATATTCATAATTCTCAGCAGAAGCTGTTGAAACCTCAACTGGTAAGTTACACATCCACATCTTTCTGACCTTGTTTGCCTGCCAGCTGTTATGGGATAGTTTGTTCATCTGTATATTGAACGAATTTTGCCTTTCTGGTTGCCTTGTTCCATGGATCTGTGCCACATAGCATGTTGATCATTCTAATCATCTGCTATGATTCATGGCTTCCTCACTTGTGGACTGTCTTTAATCCTTACTTTTTCTTGCGTGTTCTCCAGGGGTTCCTTTTCTGCTCTGCAGCCAAGTCTTTACTGTGTTTCCCTTTACTTGTTCTTCACTTCTTATGATAATGTGGTCCCAGCTTTGACTGTGTGCTTTCTCCTTCAAACTTGGCAACTACTGTATTCTTCTGTTTTGATCCCATAGTGCCCCAACCTCAGCAATTCAGTTCACACCCTGTCAGCTCAAAAGGGAAATGGCTGCCTTGTCTATTAAGCACTGTGGATAATAATTTATTTTCTTTCCCTTTCATCTTCCTTGTACATAATGAAGCTGGTTCTGAGAGCTGTGAAAAAACACTGGATTTCTCTGATATTCTTACCCAGCCTCCACTCTCAAGTTTATGCTGCACTTCCTACTTTGCGTGATTGTCCTGGTCTCTTAAGATGAATGACAAGTCCACAGCTAAGCCACCTTGCTTTCATTTTGTCCAATTAATAGATTCTCCTGCTTTCTTGCACTAGTCTTTCATACGATCTTAGGGTATTTCATAGGTCCTGTCACCACATAGGTCTCCAGATCAGGCTCTTTCACCAGCTTCCTTGTTGAAGTATATTATTCACTGTTTTCCTCTTCTGGATAACTCTTCTTCCAGTCTTAATGCTTTTGGTAGCCCAGACTTTTAGTTCTTAAACAATTTTATCTTCAGTATATTTTTCATGGTATGCAGGGGAAATGAAATGAGCTGGTAGCTGACACTCCACTCTGCACTGTGTGTGTTCCCTTCATGTAGGTGATCTCAAGTCTTCAGTTAAAGTTGTGGCAGTTAAAACTGCCTACTGATTTATTCAGCCTGTTGAATTCTGTCTTAACAGACCTGCAGTGGAAGGCCTGCTGGTTCAAACTTCAAAATAACAAATACATTGTTTTCTTCTCAAGTGTCTGTCTTAATTCTTAATCGCTCAGCTGTGCTACCAAATGTTTTATTGCTTGCAGCTGTAACTCAAAATTGACTTGTTCCTCTGCCAGAGTGCATACCTCTGAGGTGTGTCAAAATCCTACCCTTTCTTTCAGAACAATGGCAGAAACTGATTCTTGGTCATTGCACTGTTACTGTGTCTTTCTGGTACTTCTGTAACACTTTCTAGGTTTTGTAAATGCTTCCTCCTTGTCTTTGTTGGCAGGTATGTGTCTCGGGCATTCTGTTTTATGTTTCCAGATAGACTATAGCAGACTATAGAATTGTATTTGTTGTTTATTAAGTTCAACATCTTACAATTTTCAGTATTTGAAAACTAAGACTGGTAGTTCAAATTTGGCGTAGTTCAGGACAACGTTGCCCTTCTGTGTAGCAATAACGGCATACTCAAGGCAACCCTCCCTCAGTTCTCTTGCAAACACTTCCATGGCTTGCTTTGTTGATACTTACGCACAGAGCTAGAATGAATCTATTTTGCTATTAACAAGATACTTCCTAGAGATTAATAGTTTTCTGGTAATACTTGGGGGAGGATGTCATTCTGAGGAGGCTGCCGGTCATGAAATAATAGAATTAATATTGTCTTCCACTATATTTAATATTGACCACTTTTCCTATGTCTTTGGATTTCAACACTTTTTGAGATACAGCTTTGTAATTATAACTTGGAAATTCCTTCATAAATACTAAGTGCTTTTCAAAATAAAGTGTATAAGAGTTTGAAACCTTTTGTGGTTTTAAAACTGTCTAAACAGACTGAGCATATATCTGACTTTCAACAAAACAAGTCCTGGCATTGTGGTATTTGTATAAGAGACAGTGTCAGATTCAACACCTAAAACTGGAAATAAGCTAACGGATACTGTAGCTAAGTTTGTCATGTCTGGGATAGCACTTTTAACAGAAGAAAATTTCAGAGAACTTTGTAAGAGAAATAGGTTTTTGAGCAGGGCACTGTGGTTACAGTTGGTACTAAATGTAATGTGTGTTGGAATGTCTGAACATGTGAAGTGCACTGCAGAGATTGGTGTTAATGAAAACTGTGGCAGTCTTAATGAAACAAAGCATATAATCTGAGAAGGTTTTTTATGCTTAATTTACAAAAATATCTCTATTGTCTTCAGTCCTATTTCCTGGACATAACATCCAATTCTGTAAAATTCTGATATAGATCAGGCTTCTTCCACTGCAATATAGTGATTGTTCAGACTGTCATCTTTTTTGAAAATATGGAAGAAATAGGTTCTGGAAATAACTGTAGCTATCACTTAAAGAGTGATAAAGATAACTTAAAGGGCCTGTGATAAAAGTATGTGACTAACAGAAGGTAATTCAAACCTCACATTGTCTCATAAAATTGAAGGGTATTCAGCACGAGTATGACACTTAAAATTTAAAATCAATAGAAGCAGGTTTTTTGTTTTTTACAAAATTTGTTTTCAACCAGTGATGTTGCTGGTATGCCTATAAGGCTGTCATAGGTGAAAACAAATAATTCACTGTGTGCCTGCCTACTTACTGGACAAAACCAACCAGTGAACAATCAAGTGAAGTTGCTTGTGGGTAGGTGGTGTATCATCATTGTTCATGTGGTTTATGCATCTTGAGATCTAATGTCTAGCATAATGTAATGTGCTCTCAGAGACAGAATATTGGGGGGGGAAAGTGTAAAAGTTTTCTGGCTTTTTTTTTTTTTCTCAGGGCAGGGGGGAAATGGCTGTGTGCCCATCCTTATTTCCCTCAGAAAGCAGTACTTTAGTGCTGTAATCTTGCCTTTTCCAAAAAAGGGCACTGTTTTGAAAGTAGAAAGGTTTTATTTTGTGATAATGTTGTTCTGTGCCTTGGCCAGTAAGTTTTCAATAGCATTACTATCCTGTTTCTATTCTAGCAAGCTGTGCTGTGTACTTGTATAAAATTTTTCATGTATAGGGACTGGTAAATGAACTACATATCCATTTTATTAAGAAATGCTGATAAACTCATCTTTTTCCTGCCCAGTATGATGAGTTGGTTCCTGCATCCCTGACAACCAAATATGGAGGGTTTTATATCAACACTGGTACACTGCAGTTCCGCCAGGCATCTGATTCGGAGGATGAAGACTTTGCAGAAGACAAAAAGCATAGGCCGCCTAAAGTGAGTGATCTTAATTATGCTTTTTATACAGAACTTACAGCTAGGTGGGCATTGGGAAATACTTGATACACTTAGAATGGCTCAGATGAAGAGATTGAAAGCAGAATGACACACAGTACTGTTTTATTGTATTTTCTGATTTGTGGCTCATGTACTAGCATTCGGGAAGTAACTCAGGATGTCCACAGGCTGTCCGGTCTTGTAAGACTAGCCATCTCTTTAGGCAAGCTAACAAGTTGTGTCCCTCCATCTTGAAGTGACAGATGATTCTGTAATTTTATAGGAATTTTATTATGAGATGAGAACTTAAATTCTCCAACACTGCTTTTACGATTTTGCACAAAGCTTGCATGATTTTAAATTATTCCTAATATTCAGAATAACACTTAAAACGAAATATCTGTTAAAATCAAGTCCGTGCATAAGAATAGCTATATTAAAAAGTATATATACAGTCTTTCCCAAACAGTGTGCTGCTTTATGTACTTTGACAAGTTATGATCAGTGTGAACATCATTGTTTGCATATGACATTCACAAGTTCCATGCCATTCCAAGAACTTCCTGTTTTCTGATGTTCTTTTCTGCTCTATAATTCTTTAAATTTAACATAATTTTAAGGTTCTCATATTGGCTCTGATCAGGATGGAGTTAACTGTTTTCATAGCAGCCCTTATGGTGCTATGATTTGGATTTGCGACTAAAATAGTGTTGATAATGCACCAAAGTTTTGTCTGTTGCTGAATAATGTTTGCACAGTGTGAATGCTTTCTTTTTCTCTACCCTGCACCAGCAGGTAAGCTAGGGATCAGCAATAACTTGGGAGGGGAGACAGCTGATCTGAATTGGTCAAAAAGATATTCCATACTATGTAACTTCATACACAGCAATGAAATGGTGGTAGCAGAAGGTGGGGGGATTCAGTCTTCCATGCTGGCCATTGCTCATACTGGCTGGGCATCAGTCTGCATGTGCCTTAAAGTTTTTTTCTTATTGAAAACTCTGAATTCAGTAACTGTTTAAAAATTATTAATGATTGAGACTTGTCAGTAACTGCAGTTGTTGCTAGGAATCCAGTGGTACTGTTTGCCGTTACGCACATTGAGGTATTTTCCCTGGCTCTGAATTGGAAAATGTAAGGAAAACTAAATGTTTCTTGCTGTGAAAGTCCTTCAGGGTGGAAGAATCATTGTCCTTTATCCGATATCTTTTCTAGATAGCAAAGTTAAAAGAAAGTGAAGATCGTGGAATGAAGAAGCGCAAGCGGAAAGATGAAGGGACAGAAAAGGAGAAGAAGCCTCGGAAAATGAAAGTTCCTAAGCAGTTGGGGTAGGTTTCTTTCTTGAGATAAACCCTTGAATTGTATGTGAGGCCTGGTTGCAAGATTGTGTGCCATAACAAGATTATCACAGCTGTTTAGAATATTGTATTTTTAAACTGTAATTAATAGCTAATAGATTTTGGGTTTGGAATTTGTGAGGGTTTTTTGCATAAATAAGTCCTACAAGCTAATTTTTTTACCCCAAAATTTTGAGTGAGGAATAATAAAACAAGAAAAGAGAAATTACAGAAAAGAAATTTTGAATCTATGAATAGCATTATCCATCATTGTTCTACCCAAAGTCTTATATAGCACTAAGAATTAAATCTTCTAATGAAAAATAATTTTCTTCCTATCCCTTGGTTTCTAATCTGGAAAACTATAAACATAGCTTAATTAATCTATATGTTTCTTACTAACTTTGCATGTGCTTTTCTGAGTTCTGAGGCTAGGATGGAAGGATTAAGGTGGTGGTTTTTTTAATCAGCTTCTAGAAGACTATTGTTGAGTGAAAGTTGTCTTGCTATGATTATTCAAGTTGGTGCTGAAAATGTATTGATAGTATTTTTCATCAAGGTGATGAACTGGTGGAAAATGCTCAGTTTAAGTAGCATATAGATGTTGAACCTGCATGTCAAAATTCTTGGCAATGAAGAGAATTTTTTTTAATGTACATGGTGTGCCTAAACTTAAAGCAACCTGCCACCATTCAGGAGTCTGAGAGGCAAGTTTAAGTATTTCAGTGGCATAGATCAGCCATGAGTTTAACAACTATGCCAATTTCTCCATAATTAGAGAAGTCTAAATAACCTTTGCCTTAATGTGTACACAACTTAGCAAAACAAATCAGTTGGAGAGCATGAAGTCACATGACCAGCAGTGGTTTATGGTAGTTGATAGACTAGTCTGAAGATGGAAGCACAAAGTACTTGCTTCTTCCCCCTGATACTTTTTTTAATTGTACTAAACTCCCAGGTTTTTTGTTAAAGGTTTACTAAGGCCTCAAAAGTCACATGCTTTCTAATGAAAGATTTCTTTCCTCTACAGAGTTATGGCCTTAAATTCACACAAGTCTGAAAAGAAGAAAAAGAAATTGTATAAAGACTCACTCTCTCTGGCTGCCATGATCCGTAAATTTCAAAAGGAGAAGGAAGCCATGAGGAAGAAGGAATCTAGTCCAAAACCTCCAGTGACTGTTGCAACCTCTACCCCTAGTAAAATTCCTTCCTCCTCTCTCAGTGCAGGAAATGATATCTCTGACTTGAATCTTAGGATCAATGATCCTGTCCTCTCCATTTTTGGTAGCACAAATGAACGTGAGCTCCTGCAAGAAGCTGAAAGTGCCCTGGAGATGCTGGGAGACATTGACTTTGACAAGTTGCTTGATGGCACTTCTGATGGCAGCCCGGTATCTGAGCTGTCAGGAGAAAATGGAAATGTCACTCAGGCAACCCACACCTCTCAGGTCATGACACCCAAGCAGGTGCCTGCCCTCCCAGAAGGTCTGCCTATGCTACTTGAAAAGCGCATTGGAGACCTTCGAACTGTAAGTATGAATTCACTGGTAAGGGATTGCATTCAAGAATCTGAGAGAATGAGGAAGAATAATTAGGGCCTAAGTTGTCATCCTTGAATTGCTGGTTGAAACTAAAAAAAAAAAAAGAATTGATTTTAATGTCAGTCTTAATGGCTGTATTTATACTCAAATGAAAATGGGCACAGAGATGATGCGAGTCAATTGTTAAAGGAGTGTTTGTTTCACAGTGGAGACAAGGTTTTCTAAATCTTCTGTGTATAATAACTTGGTTTTTTTCCATAATGGAAATATCACTGTTACTTTAACTTGAATTATTAGTTGGTGAAATGGATGGGGTTTTCTTACTTTGGAAGAGGAAACCTGAAATAAGACTGCAGCTTACAAATCAATGCCTCGAATTTTTGGCTTTGTAACAGAAATGCTAACATGCCAGTTTAAACCAAAACCAGCAACAACAAAAAAACACCCTACCAAAAAACAGCACACAGCTACAAAAAGAAAAAACAAACAACCACAAAACTGAATATTTTCTTTTGGAAGGTTAGAATGGAGTCCAAACTCGTCAAAAAATATCAATGAAAAGTATTAAATCTACAGGTTACAAACATCCCAATAGCTTATTGAAAGGGATCGGAGCTATTAAGGTATTATATGCTCTTTGTTTCAGTTGTGGATGTTATCTTAAGTTGAGAATAAATTTGTTGTTTGGTTGTCCAGATTCTGATATTAAAGTTTTTCCTTACTCAGAATAAAGTGCAGCTTTTCCTTACTCAGATTAAGTTTTGAAAAAGCAGTTCAAGTTACTGCCTTTTTGGGAAAAATAAGCTTAAACAGTAGCAGAGCTTGCTTTGCTACAAGTTAGAGTAATGATAAAACATAATGTTTATCTTGTATGTAAATGTCTTGTAGTGTTCTTAGTTATTTTTAAATGTACCAAGCTAAATACAGCAAGGGGTTAATATTTACTCAAGCAAGAGAGGTGGTGTTGTCTACCTTTGAATATTCAGGTTAATTTTGCTATGAATCAACAATAAGCTGCTAGCGAAACTGCAGAAGAACTGGATTAGGCCAAAAGTCAGGAAGTGTTAGTGGCCTGCCCCAAACTCATGCTGCTTCACTGTATAGCAAGTCCCACCCAGCTGGAAGAGAGCTTTAATTCAGTGGCTTTTGGAAAACCTAACCCTTCTGTCTTCTGCTTTTGATAATGTCTTCTAGAAGTTTGGTGCTGGCTGAGCAGAACAAGTCCACGCATACACTTGGGGAAACACTAGACTGTGTTGACTTAAAGATTGCAACTTCCTTACCTTCAGCAAATTGCAATCAACTGACATGTTACCAGTGGGGGAAAATGTCTTCTAAAAAGCAGGAAAAAAGAAATGGGTCTTGTCAAATACCTACCAGGCTCATAGCTTTAGTGCTCTTCAGTGCAAAGAAAGCTAAGAAGTTTATAAAGCTGTAGGAAAAAGCCTATGTTCCATGAATGGAGCATGATACATCTAGATTAAAAAAAAAAAAAATTTAGAAAGCCACTGACTAAATACAATCAAGACTTCTTGACTTCCTTTTGTAGATTAATGTCTTCTGGTTCCCTAAGTGGGCAATTCTGAACTACCATGACAGAAGACAATATTGTACGCAAGCAGGAAAGTAATAAAATGGCTTTTTTTCTGTTGTGAAGGTAACTGTCAAGATAACCTGCCTGTGGGGAGGAAAAAAAAAAAAAAAAAAAACCAAAAAAACCCCTGACAGTTCAGTGGTAGCAATGCAGTTTTTTAATTTGCCAACATTGCTCTCTTCAAAGTCAGCAACACTGTCCATTGTGATAGTATAAAGCTGAAATCTCCTTTTAAGGTCTACCTGGGACTGAAATGTCAAAGCATGTCTTTCCTTCCACTTTATATAAACCAGAAGATGATAATAATGCTTGTGTAATTATGCTTAAAGGTACTGGATTTAAGACTTTCAAACTTGTGTCTCTGGTGTCCTATCACTTGTAAACATCTATAACCTTTCTAACTTTTTTAGCAGGACAAATGCTTCAGTATTCTTAAACGGATAATACCATCCCCTCAGCAGCTGAATTTACAGTAGAAAGTAGTGAGCAGAATGCAGTCCTTAAAGGAACTTAAAAAACCTCTGGTATCAATGTTTATGACTGAAGCTGTACAGCACTCAGACAATGGGCTACCTTATGGTTTGTGATAGAATATCAGACTCCTGTTTTCCTGTGCAGTGTAGAGTTCACAATTCCAGAAAATATTTTTCTTTCAAACTTAAATGGGTCAGTTACAAAGAGCAAGAACAGTGAGAATTTCATAGTAATAAAGGAATTTTATCAATTTAACACTTGCTTTTATTTGTGTTTTTTAGCCATGTTGTCACAAGTCACTAACATTTTTTTGAAAGGCAGAATTGGAGATTTTTAATTGATTTGAATATTCAGCCTTGTAGCATGTTGGCTGCCTCTAATGTTTGTCAGTCACTATAATACCACCACACTTGCCTACTTTTCTGCATGCATATCCTTTTCCAGCTCCTTTAGATATTCACTGTCTGGTCCCAGTGCCAGAATATAAGATGACAAAAAGTGGGGGTTTTTTGTCTTCTATAAATCTGCAGAGTGGATGAACACTAGAAAGAAGATCTTACTGATTTTTGCAGAATAGTGCAGGGAATTGGCTTTCTCCTACAAGCTGTCATTGTTTGTGAAAATAAGAATGTAGGTGATAAGAACAAAGATAAAGGGATTCTGCATGGGAATTCCTGCGAGATCAGTAAAAACTTCTAATAAAAGGAAGTATGTATAGGAATAAGGCTGTCTTCCCACACCCCAGACAGACTCAGGAAGAGACCAGGCAAGAAGAAGTATAGTGTAAAGATGGCAAGAATGCTGGACAGCACCAGAAAAGAGGGATGAGGTATTCCTCTAGCATACATAATCCCTTTGTAGAAATTGTAATGAAGGATTGAAATGGATCTAAGGAGGCTGGGAAGTTGTAACTGGGTGAGGCACATAAGAGAGAGAAAAGGAGCCTTTCATAGAGCGAGAGTAGAAATGTGTTGATGCTCTTGCCTGCTTGACTTGTCAAGCAATGCTCCTCTTTTTAAAGGAAACGGTGGTAGTGGAGTGTTGCTGGTGGTGAGACAATAAAACATCTCTACCATTTTCTTTCTTCATGGTTATTGAAAAGATGAACGTGTTAATAGCAGTGATCCAGGCAGATTCTCAATAGAATGATTGTTTGCTCTAGAGCAAGGCATTTTTATTTGAGTATAATAACAACAATCCTCACCTTTTTTTCTAAACAGCTGAGTAGTTTGGTTTTGTTTATTTCCCAGTAATGCTGTTCTCTGGAAAATAAGAATATGACACATCTGTAAAAGTAAAGATACAAAGGTTGTTGGGATAAAATGCTCTATGAACTTTTGGACACTCTTTATTGCTGTGTTTTCAGGCCGCCAAGATGTTTGATGAAGAAGGCAGGAAGAAGTTTTTCACACAAGACATGAATAATATTCTGCTGGAGTAAGTGCTTATCTGTACAACCTTCCCTTTTTGGAAAGGGGGTGAAAGGAAAAGTACAGAAGAGGAAATAATATTGAGGTTGTTCCAACAAAGCCCTTAAAAGTCAATGAAGGTAGATCAGTCTAAGCTAGTTATTAGCTAAAGAGATTTATATATGAATACAATTCCTGTCATGACTGTCTGTCTGTCTTTATCCAGTGTAAAGTGTTTTGTAGTGCCCTGTGTCCTTGGCTTCATGTGTAGAATTCAACAAAACTGCCATTATTTCTTCCTGTCCCCGTTTCGTAACTCAAAACACCTTCAGCTTTCATGAAGGAGAATGACAGCTCTTTTTACTCTGTAATCCTTTAACTAAGTGTTTAATATAGAAGGTTCTGTGTTCATACTAGAAGACTGTAGCAGTCAAAGTTGTATCAAGATTGATGTGCCATGGTGGGTGTAAATGAAATTCGAATGACAGTGTTCAACATTGCTGGAGAAGTATGTGTATGAATGGTTTCTTGCCGTTGATTAAGACTTCCTCCTTGGGTAAAAAAGTTTATCTGAAAATGTCCCAAGCTGCTATTTTTAGTATGCATAGCTAGAATGTTATGCATACAAAGCTTCCTTAGGTTTTTGTTCAGTTGTCACCATCTTGGAGTGCTCCACTGGTTGACTGTCTCTTATTTGTTTGTCAGTATTGAGCTACAGTTACAGGAGGTAAATCCTGCCATCCGCAATGGAGTGTACTCTCACCTTGAGGCTTTTGTGCCGTGCAATAAGGACACACTGATAAAGCGTCTGAAGAAGTTACACCTCAATGTCCAGGTAATGATGGGGAGCTTAGTTCCAGCATGAGTCAATTATGTAATAGTGATGAGGACAGAACGCAGGAGAGTTTAGCAACAGCCACACAGTCTTCAATAAACCAAAAGACTTTGGATCAGTTGCTAGATCAGCTTAAAAATTTTCGGGTTTTTTTCTGTGTACCAGCTATTGTCACTACTTCAGGAACAAATATTTTAAGTATTTCAGACCCTTTATTTGAGAATGAAGTACTTCCATTTCAAAAGCTGGGTACAGGGTACATATCAAAGTAGCAGAACTAGAAAGCCACAATAATAATGGTTATGACAGGCTAAAAAAATTAGTATTACATTCGCTTTTGTGTCAAGAAAAAAGAAAGGCTAGGTGGATAATAGATGACCCAGCCTGTACTGTTTGCAAATTTGTCTTTGTGGTTAGGTCTTACAAATACTTTGTATGTCACTTGCAGTTACTTTTCTCTTAAAGAATATGTTTTCCGATTGAATAAAAAAGTTATTTGTGACCTGAAGTATCCTGGCCTGATTCTTTAGAGGAAATCCAAGACTAAATCTTGCAGAGGATCTGAGGATCATGAATGCAGAAATCTCAGAACTTGCTAAGGCGGCAAACAGATTTATATGCTATTTCTAAGCAGTAAAACATAATAGCACGTAGCATTTTAGTTCTTCTCAATAAGCAGTTATGATTAAGAATGTAAACTCAGAAGATGTAGGAAGAGAACTTAAAACATGTAGGGAAGTATATAGTATATTACTTTAATGTTTTAAGTTCTTAGTAATTGGAGACGATTCTAAATACATAGTCCTTACCTTTGAGGTACATAAATTACATATAATAATAATCTAATACTCAGATAATCTAATACATATATTTTGTTCATTACCTAGGATGTTTTATACCACAGAGTTTTTGGAGACTTGATTAATTGGGATACTTATTTGCAAGTGTTGAGATGCTCATTGGTCAAGCCATCTTGCTTTTTCCCTCAGGTTTTCTTCCCTTCCTTATTTTGGTTAAAAAGCATTATTTAATGACATCATGCCATAATGTTTTGGGATAGTCATGATGTTTCCTTGTGATTGTCTTTCATTGTTACTGGTCTCAGGACTTAACATGAGTTGTAGGAGAAATTTCAAGTATGTGCATTTCTATAATGCTGTTGCATCTAAGAGGATTCAGGTGCCATGTAGGAAACGGCTGTTGCAGTCAATAGTTAGTACTGGAAATATTGCCTCAGGAGTGAGCAGGAAATAATTTTTTGTGAAACTATCTGAAACACTCTTTACACTGCATCTAATAGATCTGCTTTGGTATTTCTCTTTTCACAGGATGACCGCTTGAGAGAACCGCTGCAAAAGCTGAAACTGGCTGTCAGTAATGTCATGCCTGAACAGTTATGCAAGTATCAAGAAGACTGTCAGGCCCGCAATCAAGCCAAGAATGCCAAGTAGGTATTTCTGGAGTCTGTGCATGCCCATTCTAGAGTCCAGCTGGAAGTCTGTTTCCATGTTGTTCATTCCCTGCACTCAGCAAAGTACTCAGCTGCAGTTTACAAGTGTCTGTAAGTTTTGAACTGTACAAAGCACTTAGTTTTGTGTAAATGATGTTATCACCTGACTCTAGAAGGAAATTCTATTAACTGAATGAAATAGGTCTTGAGAGAAAGAAATTATAAACTGTGAGAAGGATACTGGAGATTCTCAGAATGCTGGATTAATGGAAGAGGATGGTGTGTTCTGGTTCTTGATATATTTTGTCCTTGCTCATTGTAATTGTTTCCCTCCATAGTTAACTAATTTTAGACTTCCAGAAGCATTACTAGGTTGATAAGCATTCTGCCATTTCCCAGTAGAGGCACTACATGAAGCTTATAGCCAGCATCCTTGATAGCATCGATAACACTTTGTCCTTTTCAGTTGTCTCTGAGGTCCATGAAGCAGTAGGGAGAGGAAGATGAACGGTTTACCCTTTCAGAAAGGGTATAATGAGAATCAGAAGATGGGTCCTTTTTTTCTTTTTTTCCTGATGCTTAAAATGACACTCCTTTCTCGAGGAAACATTTTGTCTGTGTTGTCTACCTATAAAGAAAACAATTGTTCTAACTGTAGGTTGCAAGCGGAAGATGAACGAGAAAAAAATGCATCTGAGGAAGATGATGATGAGAAACCTGGGAAGAGAGTTGTGGGACCCAGAAAGAAGTTTCATTGGGATGACACAGTGAGGTGAGACAAAACTACCTTTTCCACCAAGAATTTTCACTGACTTCATAAAAGGGCCTTCAAGGGGATGTTATTACATGATACTGTTTAATAAATAATTCTTCTCAGAAGTACATCTCAGAAGTTTTGGAGAGTGTTGCGGCTAAATAGGCAAGCTAGAATGCTGCAGTGGTAAAACACGCTTTTCTTTAAATTGAAAGGCAAGATCATCCTATGTCCAACCCTTTTTTCACTGCTTGTTTGTCTACTTTATCCAAATACGTGAGAATTTTTCTGGGCCTAGGACTTTGAGCTTCTTTAAGCAAAGAACAGAGGTGTAAGCAGAGTTATACCTGCTTCCCACCATTGTAGGAACAGGTCAAACACTGTCACCTAATGAGCGGTAAAGATTTCTGCCATAATAGGGCAGACCACCAAAATTGGCAATGCTGGTTTGGCAAGCCTCCCAGTCCTTGAGCAAGCCAACATCCAAAGTGCTTGAATCTTAACCCCTCCCATCCCCTCTGAACACAAATTCTATGTTATCTCTCAAGAGCAACACAGATTCTTGTCTGAAACGATGAATTCTCACTGTTCTGTTTCCTAGAATAAATTTTACTGAAAACTGAGATTACTGTTATTTAAATAATCTAGATAAGCTTTTAAGCAAGCAGATCCTTCTAAATTAGTCATTTCCCATGCAAGATCTAAGCTAATTTTAGTACAAGTATACATATTATTAAAGGGGGCTGGTGGACTTCTCGCAATGAGTCTTTTTAGTATGTTAAGACAACAAGGGAGCAAACTTCATGGAATATATACACCCAGTATAGCTTGGACTGACCTGGAGGGAGCCATACTTAAAGAAGAGGTATTTAAATATGTTGGGTTTTTTCATTCAAGAGGCTCCGAAAGGCCAATGTTACTTAACTGTGTGCACTTTTAAGGACAGTAAAAGACAGTGTCCCTGTCAGAAGGAATCTTCTGCTGAAATATTCAGTGTAGAATGGATTTCACTTGCTTTCAGACATTCTCAGTTTTAAATGAGATGGAGGTCACTGTGAGCAAAGTGAGATGAGATGTTTTAGCTACGAGGAAACCACAAAGAAAATGTAAAACCAATTACAGAATGATAGTAAAGATGAAGAAAAATGAGCCATACAGTCTGGAAATGGAGAAGTGATGGTGGCAGATCATACCAGTTGTAGTAGCAAACTTGTGCAGCAGCAAACTTCAAAAAAATGCGATTGGAACTGAGCTCTTCCTACAACTGGCAATGGACAGCAGCTGTATAGCATCAGTGCTTCCATTTCTCAGCCTTTTTCTGCTGAGCTTTTGAAAGGATTGTTTCTTTCAATATATTTATTGTGTTCCTTTCTGCAGGTCTCTGTTGTGTAATCTTGTCAAGATCAAGCTGGGATGCTATGAGCTAGAGCCAAATAGAAGTCAGTCTGCTGAAGATTACCTCAAAACCTTTATGGAAACAGAAGTGAAACCACTTTGGCCTAAAGGCTGGATGCAGGCAAGGTAAGATACCTGCTTTATATATCTATTCATTTTGGTGTTAACTATTTCTTGGATCTTATTGTCATACATTTGACTCAACCATGTACTATTAATATTAGTTAAAACTTAAAAATATGTCAGTGGAACTGGGATATTTTAAAAGAATGAATGTTTTTCAGAAGTTAATTTTCTATCTTGTTGGCAAGCCTGAGAGCTAAAAAAACCCCCACTGTTTTCCTTGGAGAACTACTTGCCTTTGTCTTCTGCTGGAGACTGAATTTACTAAAGTTCATAACATAGCGAGTGATACTACATTTGAGGGGAGAGTATGAGGTGGGGGTAACTGCTTGAGAAGTTCTTTCTGTGATATAGAAAGTGATAGTGATACAAAAAGCAGTTTTGCCTATATGTTGTAAGCAGTCTGATAATACAGTGTGACATAGACTTCAAAATTTTAAGCTGGAATTTCAACACCAGAGTTCACAAAACACTAAGGTTTGTGCTCTTTATTTCCTGTATGCAATTGCAATGCTCTGTGACGCTGCAGTTAAAAATACACCAGTTTCATAATGAAAACTTGTACTTGCTTCCTCAACAACCACACAAAGGGGGAAAAATAAAATGAGAGCAATAGTAATCATTGTGAATAAAAAATTGACAAAGTTTTCAAACAACTGGAAGAGAAGCAAATATAGATGATGTGAGTTCTCTCCTTCTGTAGCACCCATTGCAAAAGATGATTTCCCATCAAATCTTGACCTAACTGTAAAAGCTAAATGATAGAAGAATACTAATCAGTTTGCTCAAGAATACCTTGATTGTCGATTAGTCAAGTCTGTATCAAACTGTAAAAATAACTGTACTGAGATTTCCTAGAATAGTCAGTGTAGAAAATGAGGGTGTAATAAGCTGCTTGTGAAATAGTAATGAAAGGAACAGTTGAAATTTTACATTTCTTGGCATACAGCTGACTTATTTCTGTTCAAGGATCTAGGTTTGTGTAGTAAGTATGCTGATGAGTGAGATTTTATCCCTTATGAAGATTTTATTGAAGTAGACAAGACAAGGAATCCCAGTTTAGCTTAAGAACAGATATGGAGATCACTGATAGTGGCGAAATAGTCAAGTGATAGTGTGAGGTCACCCAAGAATACATAGAAGTGAAGCATGTTAAAACTTTGCATTTGAAAGCCATATAACATATGTGGTTATCTCCTTTCCATACGATGTGTGCTGAAAATTTCCATAAGCTTTTAAACTATCTATAAAAGTGGTTTCAACAAAAAAGAAGAAAAAAACCCCAAACAAACAAAAAAATCAAAACAATGCCTCCCCCCAAAAACCAAACAACCCCCAAGAGCTGCCTGATCATAATTTTCTGTTTACCAGCAAGACTTCATTTACCAACTAGGCAGTTTTGGTATGATAATGATTTACAAATTGTCCTGGATTTATGGGGAGGCACTTCCCTGCTTTCTGTTTAGGAACTGGTGTATTGTAATTTGTAGGCAAACAGTTATGCATGGAAAGAGGAAAAGCATGTATTTCCTAGAGTCTTGCCAGTGCTAACTCCTAATACAGCATGTTATTCATATGCTGGATGCTCATCTTGTTGGGATGTTAGGGCAGGGATTATCATGCTGAAGGCTTACAATTTTTTACCTTTATATGTGGCCTAAAGTGAGAAGGAGCTATGTAAACTGGAAAAAAAAAATCAGACTTTTAGTCTTAAAAATGGCCTACTGACAATGTATTTCGTAAGGAATTCTTACTAATCAGAGTAGGTCTATGGTACCAGAACTTTGTGGGTTCAGACCAGAGGAAAAATTTCTTCCTCTTTCAAAGTTAACTGTATTTAATGTTCCTCATAGCTTAGTATAGAAGCATGAGGTAAGGTATCGATCATAACTTTAAATTGCACCTTGTTCATTTGTCCATGTGTATCACAACTACTTTTGTCACATGAATTTTCTGTGTGTGTAACTTCATACCCTGCCCCAGAGATTGTTTTATTAATACTCATGGATTTAGAGAAATAATTCTTGTCCTACAGGGTCCCAAAGCCTTTTCAAATAATATAACCTACTTTTTTGTAATTGGGTTGCAGATTAATTCCATGTATGTCTGAAAAAAGCCTGCAACCTAAATATGCGTATGTGCAAAAAAGAAGTGTAAGGAACAGGAGTCTGTTCCTTTAATTCCAAGAATTTAATCATCTCTGGAGGTGGTCGTGCAAGTAGGCTTGCAGCAGATTTATTTTGCACAGGTCAAACAACACTCTTGACTTGAAAACATGATCAGAGAGAAACAATCTCATATTGGTCTGTCCTGGTTTCGGCTGGGATAGAGTTAATTTTCTTCCTAGTAGCTGGCATAGTGCTGTGTTTTGGATTTAGTATGAGAAGAATGCTGATAACACACTGATGTTTTTAGTTGTTGCTAAGTACTGCTTATGCTAGTCAAGGACTTTTCAGCTTCCCATGCTCTGCCAGGTACACAAGAAACTGAGAGGGGGCACAGTCAGAATAGTTGATCCAAACTGACCAAAGGGCTATTCCATAACATGTGACGTCATGCTCAGTATATAAACTGGGGGGGGTTGGCCGGGGAGCAGCGATTGCTGCTCGGGAACTGTCTGGGTATCAGTCAGTGGGTGGTGAGCAATTGCATTGTGCATCACTTGCTTTGTATATTATTATTGTTATTATCATTATTATATTGTTATTATTATCATCACTATTTTACTTTATTTCAATTATTAAACTGTTCTTATCTCAACCCAGGAGTGTTTCTCACTCTTACTCCTCCAATTCTCTCCCCCATCCCATCGGGGTAGGGGGAGTGAGGGAGTGGCTGCATGGTGCTTAGTTGCTGGCTGGGGCTAAACCACGACATGGTCTCTGTCTCATCAACTTTTACACCTAAATATATGTATGCAATGGAGGGATTATTTTCCAAGCAGGTTCTTGCTTTGGAACATAGACTGCACTGTCCCTTTTTTGTACCGTATCTTTACTGCTGTTCCTGTAGTAGTTACACTTCTCTCTTGAACCTTTAAGGATGATACTACAAATTAAGGGGCCTGGGATTCATTTTGGCTTTTCATTCCCAAATGAAAAAGATTAAGGAATAGATAAAGCACCAGGAAGGAGGTGGGGATGGAAATATTCTGGGTAGGTCAGAAAGTGGCACATTGAACTTGTAACAGGGAATATTCCTTTTGCTCCATGATGTTCTTCACAGGCATTCAGTAGTCTCTGATGGGGAGCAATGTAATGCAGGTTTGGAGGTTAGTATGGTGAAGAAAATGTGCAAATGGAGTTGAAAGTGGAATCTGAGAAGTAAGGCATTGGGACTTTAGGAAGAGGATGTCAGTGTTTTCTTACCAGATTACAGTAGATTTGTGGATACTTGGATTTTTCATAACTATTGCAGCTCTACAGGATGTGTTATCAGTGGTGAAAAGCTCTTGTTTAGACAGCTGTTCATGATGTGGTCGGTCGGTGTTAGTGTGATGGCCGTGGTGCAGGAAAATCTTGTCTGTTCTAGTTTGCCTACCTGGAAACAGGGAGGGGGACCGAGTTTTCATTAGTTGTCTATTTATAGCTGTATTTGGGTAGCAAGCTGTAGGATAGGTACAGGTCAGAATCGTTTTTACTTCCCACTTGTCAGCTCAGGAATTGATAACATGGAAATAAAAGCATGTGAAGCATTGAGATTTGTCATACCAACTCTTGCCATTCATTGGCTCTGTAGTAAAATGTATGTGTAAGTCCAGTGTAATTGAAGTCACAGAAATGGCCTATACAATGGCCTATACAAAACACTGAAGAAAATTATAAACAAGCTTGGCTACTATATGACTTTTTTTGCTCTGTGCTTTTAAAAAAAAAAAAAAAAAACAAAACCCCCCAAAAAAAAAAAAAAAAAACCCCCCCACAACAGACTAACCACAAAACCCAAACCAATGATCAGTGTGTGGACATGTAGTGTGAAGAGTTCACAATAATCCTTAATTTTATATTTAAAATATTTTATTAGCCTTTGAGGAGAGAGAGTTCAAAATGTGTTTCTTCTGTCCAGCTGAGGGAGGTAATATTCCATTATGTTGACTTCTGCTTGGCCATTTACTGAGGTATTTTCAATGTAAACGTCAAAATTATTTTTCTTGCGCATTCTTCTGTTTACGGCTGCCTGGAACTACATCATGATAACAATACAGACAAACTGCCTACTAGCTGCTTTGGGGACAGATAATCAAAGGGTTCTTCTGAAAATTCAAGGATACTTGCATGTTTGGTGCTCATATGCTGATTGTCCCTGTAGAATCACCTTTTGTTTCTTTTCTCACCACTCTTTTAGGATGCTTTTTAAAGAAAGCCGAAGTGTTCACAATCACCTCACTTCTGCTCCGTGAGTATAATATTGACAACTTACTAGTATCTTTAGGATGTTCATAGCATCTTTTCCCATCTTTACACTACCCTTTTTTGGACAGAGGGGAGGAAAGGGAGATATTTTGGGATTTGTTTGAAGAGACTTACAATGTTGTTAATTTTTTCTAATGCTTTATTTTAGACATACAACTGTAAGGTTCATGTAGCATTATATTTTAACTCAGGTATGAAGTGGCTAGATAAATCAAGTGGATATTCATTCTTGGATTAACACCTTTTACTCAAAAGTATTTCAAAGCAGTATACGCTACCTAAATTTTGCTGTGCAGCATATTACATTGAACTCAGACCGCAGTACTTCTGCATACTGCTCTCTTCCTCATAAATACCTCTGTAACCACAGAAGGCTGTGTATCTTAGCAGAATTTTACCTTCTTGATTTTCAGACAACACTGTGTCCGTCTCGGGAGCTGCCCACATTCAGCCAGAATTCAAATAAACAATGATGACTTTGAATAACACCCAAATTGCAACGTTTGTGAGAAATATGATTAATATAGGATATTTTTCTACATAATAGCAAAACTGAGTCATGGTCCACCTACAGTAAGGACTTTTTTTAACCAGGCATGTTCCTAGTTCCTTAGGAAAGCAGAATAAATTACCTATTAGATGTAAATCTGTTGATCCTCTTGAAGAAATAGAAATGAGAAAAGGTGTGAAACGCTTAACTTCTAAGTTGAAGCTGATGACTAATAATCCTTAATACTGTCCTTGCTCGCATAACTGCATTTGGTGCTACGGTGTTCGTTTACACTGCAAAAGAACCTGGAAGTTTGTTAAATGGCTTCTTGCAACAAACAGAAGTTAGATACAACTCTTTCACAGTTGATGAGCAGCGAAGCACTTTTTTTTTGGGGGGGGGGGGGGAGCAACTGCTTTTATGTGATTTGAAATATAAATGACAAGAAGAAATGTACTCCTCAGTGACAAAAACATCAGCATAAAGTGAAATTGTATAACTATTATAGGTGACTTCAGTTTAGACAGCTCTGCTAAGTAGACAAACTCTTGAGATTGTAAGAGACTGAAATGACTTGGTATTTTGAAGTTTCTCTAAACCAGAAGAGTAAAAAATAGCTCTCCTGATGACATATATCAGGTTGTATCAGCGATTTAGTGAATTTTGCATCTGATTTACTTAGAGATGCATGACAAAAAAGAAAAAGGATTAAAAGTGTGCTTGTTCTCTCCCCCCCCGTATTTTAACCCATTTTCTATTTCAAGGGTGTCTTACTATTAAAGCTGTACTCCAGTAGTCATCCTTCTAGTTTATTGGGATACAATCAGGGTAACAGTTAAAACTAAAATGACTTGCCTTTCTTTTGTCTTCTGATGCACATGTATCTCCTCTGTTTTAGGGCAAAGAAGAAAGTGATTCTGGCCCCTAAACCCAAAGTGAAGGTAAACGCCTATTGAGATGTTTGAATTCTATATGACCATTTGATACAACCGGTTTCCTGCCTCTGATCCAGAAAAATTCTGGCAGAAAGGTTCCATCAGGAAATCCTATAAGAGCTTATTGACTTGGTGTATTACTTTAAAGAAAGTAGTACAAAAGACTTCTGTATAACTTTAAGCTATATTAGTTTTTTTGAAAAGTGACTACGAAAAGTTACTAGTTCCAGTAAAGTGTCACATTTTTTAATATGTGCTTTGTGTTTATTTTCAGCTTGTATTAAATTTGGCAACACTGGAAAAATGTGTGGTTGGGAGGATAACATAGTAAGTTGATAGAGGTTCTCATTAGACACAACTAAGTGTTGTCTTAGTTCAGTAGCAATTTTACCTAGTGATCAGATTAGCTATGCTGTTCTTCACAGCATTGATTATTCTTAACTCTGTGGGGCACTTTTAGTTACGTGGAGCAACAGCACTAGGTTTTTAAATACAAATATTGAATTAGTACACAGGACTCCAGCACCTGGATATCATAGGTATCTTAATATGAAAATTTCAGTAGTAGATCTTTGGTTCATCTGAATTTTCAGAATAATAGTATTATACTAAAGAAGACCTTAGATCTACTCCAGAAAGACTCTTAAACCTGTCTTTTCTTATCTCTTCATTCTCAGGACTCCAGTCCAAAGAAAGAACAGAAAAGCTGTATGTCTTCAGTCAATTCAAGTTGCGCTACTGTACTGAGTTCCAGCACACCTGTCTGCACCCCGGCCAGCTCTAGCTGCACACCAGCTCCAGAGACGATCTGCTTGGACGACTCACTGGATGAAGACCTCTCTTTCCACCCGCCGTCACTGGACTCTATTTCTGATGCTCTGGCAGTTATCAATAATGGTGCCAAGGGATCACCTCTTGGGTCCACCATAGACACACCAACATCCAGACCTCGCCCTGGGCTGAGAGAAGAGAAACTAGCAAGCATTATGAGTAAGTTGCCCCTGGCAACTTCAAAGAAAGTAGAGCCCACTCAGACACCCCATTCATCAAGTCTTATTGCTGGTCACACAGGGCCAGTACCAAAGAAACCCCAGGACCTAGTTCACACTGGTATCTCTTCAGGCCTTATTGCTGGATCTTCAATTCAAAATCCTAAGGTTTCCTTAGAGCCTTTGCCAGCCAAACTACTTCAGCAAGGACTACAGAGGTCAAGCCAGATCCAAGCTGCTTCCTCCTCTTCGCAGACTCATGTTTCTTCCTCTAAGACCCAAGCAGCTATTTCCACCTCCTCTCAAAGAACCAAGGATGCTAATATCTTGGTATCATCTTCTGAGGCTCAGGGTGGTTCTTCCTCAACATCGCAAGTGACAAAGGTGCACCAGCATTCAGCTGTACAGCAGAAATATGTATCTCCTTTACAAGCAACTATTAGTAAATCACAGACCAATCCAGTGGTGAAATTGAGTAGTAATCCCAAACTGTCTTGCTCATCACCAGTCATCAAGGCTCAAGATAAGTCTGTAGTATATCGCCTGCCTTTGTCTAATCCCTCATCTGGAAGTGGCTCTCAAGTGTCTCACCCACTGGTTTCTCGGACAACATCCAGCACCTCTACCTCTAGTAACTATTTAGCCAAGGCTATGGTGTCACAAGTTTCTTCCCAGGGTTTCAAGCCTCCCTTCTCCATGGCTGCCTCTCCCAAACCTGCTGCCTCTCCCAAGCCCACTGCATCTAAGCCCTCTGTGACACCCAAGCCCAACGCATCACCTAAATTTTCATCCAAGTCCACCTCATCCCCCAGGCCTGCAGCAACACCCAGTTCTTCCAGTTCAAGTGCACTAGTTTCCCAGAGTAGTCACTCCAGCAACAACCCCCTTCATAAACAGACCAGTGGTGTAAATATCAGCAGGCAGTCTCCTACAATGAATTTGCTGCCCTCTAATCGCACCTCAGGCCTTCAGCCTGCAAAGAACCCTCAGGCTTCTTCAAAATTGCCCAACTCTTCTCCTTCTGGAACTGCTGGTAAAAATAATTTGGGTGGAGTTGGAATGAATGTACCTGCCAGCAGAGGCAGTAACCTTAACTCAAGTGGAGCTAGTAGGACTAGTCTGTCTGGGGGAGCAGGAAGTGGAACACAGGGTGCTACTAAACAATTGTCAACTCCACACAGACCATCTTCTGCCTCAGGGTCTCCAGTTGTAGCAGCCAGTGTGCAGGTATGCATCTAACAAGTTTACATTTAAACCTTACATTAATATTTATCACATTTATTTTGTAAACATTCTTTCTTGCAATATCATGATTTGAAAATGTCATAAATTTAGCATTTATGCTTAGTAAAACATTAATACTGATGAAACTATTTCACACTAGTGAATAGGTATTTCCAGCTGATGTGAAATGCAACGATGAGTGTGGAATGAATCCTTACTGTAAAATGTTGGTTGGTCTATACTGTGGAACAGAATTCACTTTTGTCTTGTGGTTTTTTTAAGAGCACTAGAAAAGGTAAGCTTTGTGTGGTCACATTTTCAGGGGCTGTGGTATTTTCTTGCATTATTGGATTTGTGTATTCTTCCATATTTACTTATTTGTAATTATGGTGGTCACATGAAAAGGTGTCTTGGTACATTTGTTGCCAAGTGTCAAGATTAACTGCAAAACTAGAGTTCAGTTGCTTGTGGTCTGAGTATAATGCAAGACTTGTATCTAAAACACTCACTAGGGCTTTTCTTTGGTATTTGTGATTAAATATGAATTTTATTTTGTAGGATCTAGTCAAACTGAATGAGATACCTCATTAATATATAAATATCCTAGAAATTGTTTGAGAGTGCGCTTATGCAGAACTCTATCACTGGTGATAAAACAAGTCATAAAGAACAAGTATCTTTAAAATACTGTTGTTCTAAAACCTATGCAAACCTATTATTTGCCCAGAAGACAACCTGCTTTCCCAAGTTGTGCATTCTTCTTACTGAGAATGATTTAATTACTGAGATAATTTGAGGTTTTCCTCTCTCTTTATTGCTCCCTCTATCCTGAAGTTTTCACTACTTAAGTAAAGCAATATCACTGTAAATCAGTGTCTTGGTGTACAGCAAATGGAAAAGCTTTGTATTTTTCTGAACGATGTATATAGCTATTGCATGGTAGTGATGTAGCTTGCTATCAAATTTTTCTTAATGCAGCTGAATAACAGGAGGAAGATGACTTTTACAAGACATTCCTATGGTCTTTCATCCATGTACCTTTTTCTCATGTACCTTAAGTCTCTTACAGTAAACAAGAAAGGTCTGGCAGGCTCTGACACAGCCTTCTCATTATTTTGGGTACTTTGAATGAAAAAACCACAACCCATATGCTGTGTAAGGGCCACTGAGGTACCACATAGGGCCTAGAGAAGAGCTGAGCCCGATATGGTGCAATTTGGGTACTCCAGAAGGTGCCTAGAGGAGACAAAAAAGGCTACAGTGAATGAACTGGGAACAGAGTTGTTTCTTCCCGGTGCAATCAGCAGAATCCAGTGGATACAATTGCTCTGATGTAGAAGAAAATGTGAAATGGGCGTGGTAGTTCTTAAAGATGATGGATGAGGGAAATGACTAGTATTCTGTTGGATGATGAGATGAATTCTGGCAAACCTTCCTGTAGTTAAAGGCAAGTAATTTTTTTTTTTTTTTTGAAACACTGTTCACCTGGGGAATGAAATGCATTTTGGCAGATAGTGATGTTGAAGAGGACTGGAGGGGGTGTGGTGGATTATGAAGTAACTAGTGCATACTGTAATACAGCAAAATAAGGTGTATTGACATATGGACGGGGGGAAATCAGCTAGAGGTACTGAGCAGCATATGGTATCACTAAAACAATTATCATGACTTTACATGTGGGTTTTTTGACACTTCAGAAGTACTCTGATAACTTAAAAATAGTTCAGAAGAATGGTGCAAGGAAGATAAACCATGGATTAAGGCTGTTGCTACTGTGCAGACTGAGGTTTAATCAGTGGAGTATGTTCAAGAGAAGATTAGAATCAAATTACCTCCCAGTCCAAGTACACTGAAGGGGAAGAGATTTGTGATGAGGGCTTTATTTAGCCATAAATATCTAATGGCTGGCTGCTGAACTTAATCAATTCCAGACTAGTTGTTAGGTACAATGTACTAAGGAGTTAGTTACCCCTCTTAAAACTTTGCATAAGACTGAAAGTGAATCTCCTTTCTATTAAGGGTTTAGTATTTAATTCCTATCTGAGATACTATTAATTGGTCAGAAGATGAGAATGGTATGTGAGTTGCTCATTAGAATCTCCTGGTCTGCTTACATTGAAGATCAGGCTAGATGATTTCATGTGACTATAAAGATGTTCCTAACTACAAGGAGTTTCTAAGAAGTGTTTCCCTCCTTCCCCCTTTTGATTGATGCAGTTATTTACCAGAATATAAGATTACCCCTGCTGTAGGTCCACAGAAATTTTATTCTGGAATACTCTATTAAGTTACATCTTAAGAACACAAAGTCAAAGTAATCTAAAATTCAGCAATTATCATGTGTGATTTCCTTGAAAAGCTCTACCTACCTGTAGTGGTTTAGCCCTAGCCAGCAACTAAGTCCCTAGCCAGCAACTAAGTCCCACGCAGCCACTCACTCACTCCGCCTACCCCGATGGGATGGGGGAGAGAATTGGAGGAGTAAGTGAGAAAAAATCCTGGGTTGAGATAAGAACAGTTTAATAATTGAAATAAAGTAAAATAGTAATGATAACAATATAATAATAATAATATACAAAGCAAGTGATGCACAATGCACTTGCTCACCACCTGCTGACCGATACCCAGCTAGTGTCCGAGCAGTGATCGCTGCCCCCTGGCCAGCTCCCCCCTGTTTATATACTGAGCATGATGTCACATGGTATGGAACAGCCTTTTGGTTAGTTTGGATCAACGATTCTGACTGTGCCCCCTCCCAGTTTCTTGTGCACCTGGCAGAGCATGGGAAGCTGAAAAGTTCTTGACTGGCATAAGCAGTACTTAGCAACAACTAAAACATCAGTGTGTTATCAGCATTCTTCTCATACTAAATCCAAAACACAGCACTATGCCAGCTACTAGGAAGAAAATTGACTCTATCCCAGCTGAAACCAGGACACTACCGTTAGTACTCTTGAGCAGAATCTGGCTTAGACTTTTAAGGATCTTAGTGACTCAGCTTTAGGTGACCAAGATGAATGCTTTTATGAAGTGCTGTCATAGGTGAGACAAATAGAAACATCTGAACTGCAACTCTTTTAGAGCATTCTCTGTAGCTCTTTCCATCACTAAACTTCTCTCTCGTCCTTTTTGAGAGAGTAAGCAAGGTCCCAGCAGAGCACATTACAAAGCTTCTTTCTGTTTTCAGGCATTTTACAAATCCACAATTGCAAGAGATTACTGTATGTCTTTTGTTGCATGGTAAAGATTACATAGACAGTGAATGGTTGTCATTTTTGTACATAGGATTGTGAAAGTAGTGCTTTTAAAGGCAAAAGAATAATCATATATGTTGAAGTTTTTTATCCTTTTTTTTCCTACTTGTGGGATGGAGTATGTCTTAGAAGCTGTCACTCATAAGGTGACCAATACAAACACTTGCTGTGAACATCACATCTGTAGTTCTTTACACTTACAGGATACTAGTTTAAAATTTTTGTGTTTTCTCGTAAGCTGCAACTAAACTTCCTTCAGCTGCTTTCATCTGAACACTTTAAGACCAAAACTGGTAATAGAAACTTTATCCCTGCTAGGAGTTTTCATCACTTTGCTGTTTCTGTAAGTTGATATTACAGAACTCAAGGAGATTTCATTTTCATTTTAAGCTCATGTGTTAATTAAAATTATTCTGAGTTTTGGGTTTAGTTAAGGCTTACTTGTATAAATGCAGAGGTCTGAAGTTCTCTTCGTTTTCAGTCTTTTTAACTCAGATATCTAAAATATCTGAGCTTGAGTCTGATTCAAAATAGTTTCTATACTGTTTTGTAGTAGGTCATTAGAGAATTAGCATATAAAATTAGTATGCATAGCGACAGAAAGATTATTAAATAAGAATGAGCTGTTCTAATGTTAGAGGAATTAATGTGATTTGGGAGCTGTTGTAGCTAAAATGTTCTGGCTAATCTTGCATTTTTATTTTTAAACTATAGTGAATTTAACTCATTGTGACATATGTAGAGTGGAGAGATTATTTTCCTTTGCTTTTTGCTTTGACATGTGTATACACACCTATACATACGTATGTCTGTTTGCATCTTTGTAACCTGACTTCTCTCAAAGTGGGGGGGTTCTTATGTATGAATCTTAATTATTGAAAAATCATTGCTTCTAAGTAATCTCTTTAGAAATAAAAGTTAGTCTTCTGTTAAGACCCAGATTTGGAGGGGGGGGAGTAATACTGTGCTTCTAAAGAACTTCAGATCTACATCTGATGATTTCATATTATTAATCTAATAGATTATGTTGCGTTAGACTCTGACTCTAGACCCAGTGCATAATTAGAAAGGAGATAGAGGAAATTACCTGCAAGGCTGAGAAAAACATAAGATGAACCATACTGTCATGTCTGCATCTGAGATACAATTGTACTTCTTAGCAGATGAACAGTGGGAAGACCTATGTGGATAAGTGGATATTTATTCAGAGTTTAATACACTTCTTACACGCTTAACAGAAAATAGTCCATTCTTATCTTCTTAAAGAATACAACTCAAAGCTTTAAAATCTTGAAGTACTCCTTTTCTTTGTACAGTCAACAGCAGGAGCATCATTACTGGCTAACGCCTCACCTCTGACTCTCATGGCATCACCCTTGTCTGTAACCAGTCAGAACGTGACATCTGCACCATTAACTCCTTTTGGGATGCTGGGTGGCCTTGTTCCTGTGACCGTGCCCTTCCAGTTTCCCTTGGAGCTGCTTGGCTTTGGAACGGACACAGCTGGAGTGACAACCACCTCGGGATCTACCTCAGCGGCTTTCCACCACAGCCTAACTCAGAGTGAGTGGAATTAGTTATCACACTGTGCTATAAGGAAAGATGCATCCTGAAAATGGAAATTGAGAAGGGAAGCAATAAAGTTCTGAGACACTCAAATTTGGTTCATGAAAATCCCTACAGGAGAGTAAATGTGATTTCTTTGCTGGTAAAACTTAGTTTATGTAATTATCCAAATGTTATGAATCACCTTTGATAAGCTGAACTTCATTATTACATTCACAGTAGTACATACTTAGTTTTGAACATGCTTTTTTGGGTTAACTTTTAATCCCTTATCTTTAGAAAGGAATATAGCTTAAAAGTCTCCAAATGTCACAATACAAATAAGAGACTTAATGTGGTGATTCCTCAAAATATCCTTAGGTCAGTAACCCCAGATATCAAACAGTTCTCTTATGAGGACGTATCAACCAAGATGGCATTTATCTTTTCTAATTGCTTAAAAAGAAATTCTTCAGGTTTTTAACCTATATCAATTTTTGGTCTTTCTGCCGAAGGAGATGATATGAAGAGTGGCATCCCAATAGCAAGGCATGGTCCTTGCTTGACTTTTGATTAACCATATCTGAATAGGTCTGGTTTTGTTGACTTATTCCAGCCATCAGAATGCTATCAGGTATTTATTTTTTGTTGTTGAAATAAATCTTCAGAAATCTGTGCAAATTAGCATGCTACTATAGCTACGCTATAAAAATAAAAACTTCCTATTCCACGAAGGCTGCTTCTGTCCTTAAGATTAATTTTTCATCTTTGTTGCTCTACTTTTTTTCTCCCCAGACTTACTGAAGGGTTTACAGCCAGGTGCTCAGCACGCAGCAACACTGTCTCACTCACCTCTGCCTGCTCACTTGCAGCAAGCTTACACAGGTAAAGAGATCATATTTTTCTTATTTTTAACCTAAAAGTAGGTTTTCTGCCCTAGACTGTAATAAAAGGTACACCAGAACTGAAACTAGTTTAGAGAAGGCACAACACAAGGACAAGCTTTGGTAGCAGCAGACACTACACATTCTATTGTAGCAGTATTTTTGGAACCTGAATACTTTTTTTTTTCTACTTGTCTTCAATGTCAGGAACAAAAAAGTTCAAAAATTTCATTAATACTTCATTGTAGCAGTTCTAGAAACCAAAGTGTACAAATTAACTAGTGGAGAAAAAAGGAATAGTGCTTATTGGACGCTAACACGATTATTTACAGGCTGCATGAAGTCTGTATTGGCAAGATTGGTTTTTCCACTCAATTTTAATTTCTCCCTTGGAGGAGAAACTGACCTTCCAGTTAGAAGCTTTGCCATGTTTCTTGTAAGAGTGTATACATGTGTGAACAGTGTGATGGTTTCATAATGGAAGATCTGCCTTCCCTGGGAATTTTATCCTTGATAAGAGTTGCATATTTTGATAAGAGAAGTTTGAAGTAGAACATCTCCTTTTTCTGTTTGTAAGGCTTAGAGCTGAAAAACTATCATAAAGCTTTAGAAGGTGCAGTTTAGAGTGTACTCCTTTCTTTGCCACCTGTAGGGTTGGGGTTTTTTACCAGGAGAAGGAACAGGAAGGGTGGCAGTGGCTTGCTGGAGGTTCATCCTGTTCTCAGAGATGTCAGCGCCAAAAAAATGGGCAGTGTTGCTCTAAGAGGCTGTGAAAACAAACTAATTGGCTATATTTGGTACAACCTTAATTTTTTTTGTCCCAGTGAGTGCCATGGGTTGAATACTAAAAAGCTTTATTAAAATGTAAAGGCTTCTAAAGAAAGGCTTGATTTTTAAATTTTTTTTCAGTATCCGAAGCTGCAACTTAGTCTTTAGAAAGACGGTATCTTTTGGTATGAAGCCTGATATCTCATGTTTCAACAGTGCTATTTCTAATACATGAACTACAGAGAAGATGCAAAGTCTTCCACCATATAAAGACAATGTACTTTTTGGTGATGCTAAAGCTGAATGTGCCAAATTCCTGTCTCTTCTGCTCTAAGTTATAAAAATAAAAAGTTCACTCATGCTTTTATTCTTCCTCTTTTCCTGTCTCTAAACTACAGATGGAGGCCAAAGTAAAGGGGACACTAAGTTACAGCGGAAAAACCAGTGACTTCTGGACAAGCAAGGGAGCTGAAGCAGTTCTGGTTGGCTGACAGAATCTGCCCAGTTGGGAAAGTGCTTATTGTCACAGGGCTGCTGTTTCTGTCGATGTTTACATATTCTGATCCCAAGCACTGTGGTGAGAGGAAGAAGAAAAAGAAAACAATACTTGATCAAAGAGAGAAGGAAAAGGAGGACTGGTCCCTCCTGGTCATGCAGACTGGTCATAGTTTGATCTTGCCTAAAGAAACAGCTTTTTTATCTGCTCTGATTGGCTTTTAAAAGAAATTGATCGTCAAACCCACAGCAGCACAAACTTTTTTTTTTTCTGGGTGATGTCCAATGAAGAGTTGAAAGCGTGAGAAGAGCTAAAATAGGTTTCTCCATCCATTGTGTAAGGTGGAATCATCCACTTCATTAGTGCCCGAAGTGCCCAGTGTAAGATTATGTGTAGGTCCTGAGTGTACTGTATGGTTGTGGACCAAAGGTTATGTAGAGTAGAGGTGGTGCTGGGATACTTTGCGTTATAATTAAACCCATACACAAATGTAGTTTCTGATATGGGCATTTTTTTAGCTTTACAAGGCTGTTTTGGCTTTAGGGAGCCTACAGATGTATGCAGTCTCACTAGAGAGTTGTCTTCAAAAACAGATCTCCTGGTACATCAAGATGTGAGACACAGACTACTGGGAAATCCCTTGCTCCTTGTTTGTTTTGGGTTTTTTTTTTTAATATAAAGATTCTTATTTAAGGGAGGAAGGGCATAGAAAACTTTCCATTTACATGAAAAGAAAACCCACATTTTACTGGTCAGACTAGTATTTCTTTCCCACTTTTTTTTTTAAAGGCACACTGATATCTCAGTCCTTCCATTTGTTAAACTTTCTTTTCCTTTGCCTTGTGCTTATCTGCTACCGAAACTAAGTAATGTTCTTTTCATGTCTTTTATAAAACAGAACCAGTTCTTTACTCATTCTAGATCTTCCTCATCTTTCATCTAACTCCCTCCAAAAGCCTTGCATTATACTGATTTGCTAGTTAAAGAAAGCTGATTGTGACCTATTCCAGAGCCAGGTTAATACTGCTTCGGGCATTAGCCAAAGAGGAGTCGTTCAAAAGCGACCAGAGGTGCCTTCTCTTCTGGGGGCTGAATGGGTTATCTCCAGCATTTCCAGCCCCTGCTGGCCTGGGGAGTTCCTGACCTGAACTCTTCCTTACATGGTAGCACAAGACTGCAAATCTGGCTTTTTTTTTTTTTCCTTCTTCTTTCCTTCCCTCCTTCCCCCCCTGCCCGCCCCCCCCATAGCAATACATGGACTGGTTCATTTGTACAGTTAGGAAGTATCCAGCACATGCTGCACTTTTGACACTAGGACAGAACTTTGCTGTTGAGTCCCTTGTGCTGTCAGATAGAAGGTGAGAATGGCAGAAACTGAAATAAGTCACAGGGGAAAGGAGCAAATAAGATAGTATGATGCCCTTCTTCAACCCCAAAACATTCCTTTGACCAGAGATGCTGAAATTCATAGTAGCTAGTCTTTCCAGTAGTTTGACTTGAGATTGAACCAGTGACTACTGGTTATCTCACACCTTCCAGAGAGACTTTGACCCATGGGTAATGAATCTTCAGTGTTTTTTGCTAGATTAACTTATAGCTTTCAGGTTTCTTTTACATGTGATTTATTTTTCTTAGACCAGACAACAATTTCTTTTCTATTTAGAGCTCATTTTAATTTTATATAAATATATATACGTGAATTTAAAATAATATATATTGTGTATTTAGTATAAAAATGTTGGGTTGAGCTCAGCAATAAATGTTTTTGCACAACACTTCTGTGAAAGACAGATTGAATTAAAATAAGATGCATTAGTTTGTTAATTTCACTCCACAGCACCTGCCAATTAAATGCTTTTTAGCTAGTGCTAATGTTTTGTATGTGGCATGTTGATTAGATAAGCTTGCATCTCCATCATCAAGGGTATTAAGAGTTGAAACATACAGCTACGTAGACTCTGGCATTCTTAATACTGTGCAAATTCTGTCAAAATACCGTAAACTATTTAGAATGCAAGCTTTATCTGATATTTTTTTTTCCTCTTCTTCTCCAGGAAGGGTTGAAGGAAGACAACTTTTGGTTTTTGAGGCCTAACAGTTCTGGCAGGATGCTAATTCTCTGAACTGTGTCAAACCTGATACTTTTTAACAATGCAGGTAGCTAAGGGAGTTGGAGCAGTGAGCCATCAGGCAGCAATATATTTAAAAGACCCTGTCCTAAGAGAGTTCTACCTCTTCTATGTTTTCCTCATGAAGGCATCTCATTCAAATTGCCATCTTTTGTCTTCATACTTAAAGAAATTTTAGATTGGGAGACTTGGTGCCCTTTATAACCACAGCACAAATTTCCTTTCAACATTTCTCTCTTTCTGGAAGTATGCCTCATCTTCAGTTGACGAGTATCCTCTCTAAATCTTGAGGGGTAGGAGTAGTCCTGTCTGTGTGGCCTATTGAGCTTCTCAGTCTTGGGAAACAAGTGAACTAATACTTATTGTGGAAACAGGTGGTAGGATGATGAGAATAAAGATGACCATACATTGTTCGTGAAGCCAGTTCAAACAGCCCCCCCAGAGGGTAACTGTTTTCAGTCATTACGCTCCTGAGCTTCTTTGGAATCAGCAACATAGTGATGAAAGGGTCTACATTCCCTGTTCCCTATTCTCCCTGGTTAAACCTAGCAAGGCCAAATCAAAGGAAATAATAGGGTGGCTCCCAGAGACTGTTGTGGGTAGCATAAACAGGATGGGGAAGTGAAAGATTTCTGCAACATCCAAATGCAAAATTAGGTTAATGTTTTACTATTTTCTGCACAGCAGCTCTTCTAAAGACATTTCCCCCCCCCCCCAAATTTTTACTACTTTTTAAGGGCCTTTGTTAATAAATAAACTGTAGTTGTACATACTAAATAACCCTCAGTATTCACAAGCAATAAGAAAGCCAAGTAGAGCTGTCTTTTCCAGACAGCAGGGCTGAACTTGGTTTGGGGACTGTATATGAGCTAACATGTCAAGCTCATGGAAAGCCCCAAACAAATGCAAGCAATAATTTCAAACACAGGTTTTAGATGTTAAAACCGCCTGGGTAATATTTTCTGCTACATGATCCAAAGTCCCAAAAGTCATGGTAGGTATTTTAAATCCTTTTGAGACACTTGCAAAGAAAGGAGGCAGACTAGATGAAAAACAGGCTGCAAAGTTTCCTGATACCTTGGACTATAATTGCAGTGTTCTCCCACTCAAGATGTAAATGGCCTAAATCACCTTGTCAGCCTTCTCTGTTGATTTGAGATACATGACTAACACTGATCAACTAAGTCACAAGTGTGGATGCTGTGGGTTTCACATCTGTTTTCTGCTAATCAGAAGTAACTTTTAATTACCTGGGTTCTGCTTCATGTTTGAATCCGATCAAAGTTGTCTGATGCACAGATTTGGGGGTGGGACAGGTGCCAAGAGCCTGTTTCCTTCCCACAGTCCCATCACCTGACCCTTCCTCCACACTCCTTCTCCACTTGGTGCAAGACCCTTGAGGACATGAAAACAGAGAAATCCTGCAACTCTCCCAAGCTGCCATCAGTTGTGTGAACCATTAACCCTCTGGGAGTCATCTCGGACTCCAACTAACTTTTATCACATTTGCTGCTACATTCGTAAAATGAACTTTTGGCTGTATTTATTAGCAAATTTTAATCTAGTTTACAGTTTGTTTGGCTTTCTTTTGTGTAGTTATGGCCTACGGATGGATTAGACATGTTGGGGTGTTTGGGGTTTTGGGTTGTTTGTTTTTTTGTTGGTTTTTTTTTTTTTTTTTGAGTGAATTGGTGAAGGCACAGTGGTCCCTCTTCTGATTTTGTTTTGGACTTTTTGAAGATGGCATTGCAGGGAAAACCTGCAGCCAAGCCAAGCTGTGGAAGGCTTCCTCCCACACGTAACTTTCATCTTTTGCTGAATTGGGGGGAAATCATTAAAGGGACACTTGCTTTTGGTTTGGTTTTTTTTTTTTCCCCATAAAATGAACCAGAAGGTGAAAGCAGTAGGTAAATGACTGATTAATTAACACTTTATGCAATTTTAATTTTATAGAAATTAAAAAAAGGTTGGTAGATTTTGATTGGTCCTAGCTCTGGTGAAATGGCTGTTACCCTCCATGACTTACTTGATTCAGGCCTTTGTCCTTTGTTTAAGTGCCTTTTTTTTTTTTAAATTTTATTTCCCTACCCTCTTTAAACTGTTCTCAGAGATCCTGAAGTGCTGGAAGGCATTTTGGAGGAAAATCTTAAGCTTGCCAAGATGGCTTTATGCTGTTATACTATTTTTTCCCTTTTGTAAAAAGAAAAAAAAAAAGTGTGTAATGTGTGTAACTTCATAGCTGCTGTACCATGGCATTGGTTCTGTGTGCTTGTGCGTTCTTTCTCTCTCACGCTCACACACATGCGCACACACACATACACAGCAATATTCCTGAGAAATGGGTTCATACTTCCACATTCTGCTGGCTGTGTTAAACACTTTACTTAAAGGTGAACATTTGTGCAAAGATGGCAGTACAGTAAAAGGGCGTGCGTGTGTGTGTGTGCGTAAATGTGCGTGAGAGAAGGGAAGTGGCTAATGGGAATGAAACTTCTTGCATTTTTCTCTGAAGGTTTTAAATTTGGATCTTAATTAGGTCACAAGTAAAATGTTACGGGCCCTGTCTGGCAACCTTATTAAATACTGGACCACTTCACACAATTACTGGGTCTGAGGCAAAGACGTGTGGCTGACAGCCCCAAGGAGTTGGGGGGGAAAGAAGGTTAAAATAGCAGCTTGCAACAAGTTTGAGTTGAGATGAATTGCAAGGAATCTTGTGTGTGGCTAGTCACATCTGCTTCACACCAGTTATTGCAAGGATTCTCACATTTACCAAAATTGTCACTTTCTACCAGGCATCATATGTAAGAAGGAATTTGGTAAAGCCTGGAAGAGTGCAGCTGCTAATTGAAGTTAAACCTGGCTATGCTTCACATGCTGCCTAAATCATTCACCCTGAAGTACTTTTCTAGTTGTACTTTTTCTCAATTTATTGAGATTTCATTAATGGTTTGGTGTCTTCATATGATGAACAGTAAGTTCATGTGGTGTTAGCTGCAAGTGAACCCTCATAATAGTGTCTGTGCTTGTTTCCTTGTTATCTGACAAAATTAGCAATTGGCAATAGATCATCTAGTGATTTTAACAATTCTGTGCTGAGGATTTATCTAATGTACTATAAACATGCATATCTGAAATTAGCAATTCACTTGTTGACAAAGTGCTAAACTTATGGTAACATACATACCCAGCACGAGACTCTGCTAGTTCTGTGATGTGCTTCCCTTGGGGAAGATCTAATTTTGAGTTGCAATATGAAAAGGAAGCATTTACTTTACAG